TATATATATATATATATATATATATATATATATATATATATGATAGGAGAAATATTTATCTTATATTAATTAGGGCTTGATATATGATGATTGAACTAGCACAAATAGACCAAGGCATTCGGTTGGACACATTAGTAATGCTAAAAAAATATTTTGCTCTCTGCATGAGATATTTTCTCTAATAAAAATTGACTATAAAAGGTCAATCAAAAAATGTCTCTCTCACACAATTTGCATGTCCGACGGATCGTATCATAAACTTTTTGTAAATCAATACCAAATTATTCATTCAAAGTCCTTTCAATTATATCCAAAGTAAATCAATTAGATCTCAACCAAATTAAACTGAGAATACTTTATCATACTCCTAACCTCCCTCTACCTCTCTGTTCCCCTTCGCTTCGATGTTCTACCTAAATCTTTAGATCTCGGAAAGAATCCAAAGAAGAATGCTTGGGTCTCTCCTCGTCTCACCTCTTGGGCATATGTTCTATCTGCTTCTCTCTCATTCTCCCCTGTAAAAATTGGATGCTTCCTACACCGCTCCCACTTAAAGTATATTAAAGCCTCTTCTACTAACTTGGTTATATTCGAAGAAGAGAAACTTCCAAGTATGGCATTGCCAGTCTTCTTGTTTCATAGGTAATTTTCTCTATCGTCCACCCTCTCTTATTATCTTCAAATATGTTATTCCTAGACTATAGCACTAACTAATCCCCCCTTGGTCTTGAATCTAGAATTTGATTTTTTTTTTTCTCTTTTGTTTTCACATAGAGGCCGATATTGTTTAGGTCCTCACTAAAGGACCCTAGCATCTCCATGGTGATGTACTTTAATTTATCTATTGGTATCCCAACTTCAACCAATGACCACTCGAATTGACATTGCTTCCATCTGGGTTCACCTTCGCCCTTAGAGTATTGGAATGAAGAGTCTCTATTCCAAATTACTTTTCTATTAGATTGTCCCATTATGATCAATCCTCATTTTCTCAAAATTGAGTATAGTTGTTTCACTTATGTTTGTATTGAGATTGGTATCACCTAACCTCTAAATAAGAAATCTAGATCGGTGAACTTCACGATGATTTATTTCAAATTATCTCTTATGAAAATATTCCTTCCCTTTGTTATCATTATAGTCGATTAGGACATCGAACTAATGCCTATGCTATCAAGCTAAATTCTTCCTCTACCACCTTAATCATGTCATCAGAATATTTGGATGTAGCTCTTACTACCCAGGTATAGGAGACTCAATTGTATTCAACTGGTGAGACAATGAATGGTAATTTCATATTCGACCCATAAGTGAGAGTTAGTGTTGATCTCATCATAGAAGAGTACTAATGGAAGCATCGGAGGACCTATCGGTGACAATGATGATGAAGCCTCAACCGAGCAGTTCAACACGTGTCATTCACATGAAGGAAAATTTAACGAAGGATTCTAACACCCTCCTAATGCCGTCATGCGCTTCTCCTTCCATAAACACTCTTATGAGTAATGATTATGTTAAATCTAATAGCTATCTTACCTCTAATCCCTCACATATTAATTCGTCTATAACAACTACGAATGATTCCAAAACATCATTTGTTTTCTTGTTTAGTGTCGTTGCCAATAATAATCCCAAGATTCTGCTGTCACTCATATTTTAATGATTGAAAATCCATAAATTAGTTATTTGATTCATAATCTCATTGTCAATAATCCTGTACCTGTTGTCACTAATCCTACTATCAGTCGTGATTTGGTTCATAATTTCACTATCAAATATCCCATATCTTTTACGAATAATTTTGCTATCAGTTGTGATTTAGAGAACATGGCTATGGCTTCGATAGATAAGCTATGGTTTTAATGAAAGGAGACGAGTTAGCTAATCCCAATATGATTATGGATCTGATTCTTCACCAAAATCCAATTTATCCTATCTTAGTTGCCACTGCTTCATCTAAGCCTTTAGACATAAAACCAAATCACACTAAGAATATCGTGCACATAGAAACAAATCACATGAATGTTGAACGACTGCCAACTTTAAATCCCTCATATGTACATGTGATATTCCACTCAAACTCATCTATTCTTCACCCAAACCCCTCTATGCTACTGACACTTCTTTCATCTATTCCTTCGATAGGAGACTCAACGATTGACAGTTCACTTAAAGCGCAAGACATAGCCAACCATGTAATGCAAAAGATCAATATGATATGTTACCTCCCTCGACATGATGAACCATTCGAACGTTGTTCACCATGTTAATGATTCTAACCTCTTGTATGACTTTTTGGAGCATGGGATCAATGATTTAGCTCCCTCTATATCTGAAGATACACTACTATATGCTATTATTTGTTTGGTAAATAAATTAATTTCTATTCCCCTTAATAAAGAATTATGATCTTTGTATTATAGAATTATAGAGACACATGAAGTAAAACGGTTAAATATTTCCTCTCATATGCCTTTAGAATGCATAGATCTGTACTAATCTTTTTGTAGGAAACTCATACTTTGGAGGAGCAATCCAATAGAATAATTCATAATTTCAGTAGGAATTGGAGAGAT